CTTAATTTTATGTGATTTTAATGAGGATTTTTCTTTACGTCATTTGAAAAAAGAAACTTCAAATAGTATCTGAATATTAAGATTTCCCAGCTTGAAAGAAACAAAAGCTTTATCAGCTCACAGGGAAAATCTCAACATTTTAAGGCATTTTTCCTCAAAATCAGGGTTTTGTTTGCTACTGCTCAAAAAGTGCTTCAAAATTTTTATTTAGGATAATATTTCAGACAGTTCATTGAAATGATACATTGATAACACATTTATTTGTTATATTTTGACTAAATGTAATTTTTGTAAGCGTTTTAATCAAAACACTATAGCTGCCTATTTCTCCACATACAACTTTTAGAATTAATCCTCGTTTCGATGTGATGGGTCACATGTGTTATTGATAAACGTTAATGTTAACAGCTGACGGTGCAAGCTGTCACACATTTTGTTCATATATGTGTCACTGATCCACCAGGTGACAATATATGAACACAAATCCAGCTGTGGAATGGTAATGATTAGCATTAAGAGAGCAACATGGTGATATGTGACTCATGTTGTCTGTTGAAGGATGTTCATGGGTTGACTGGGTTATTTTAGTGCTTTAGAATTAGGGGACCTGCATATTTGAGTTAGTGTTTTAGGGCTAGTGGAACTAATTTTATAGATTAGTGCTGCCCACCACTGTGGACCACCTTTAGCTTTGATTACAACACAAGCTTCTGCAATGTCACCACATGTATTTCTGTCCAGAGTTTGAATTTTTCACCAACATCTTGAATTAAAGATGGTAGATTCAGAGCAAGACTTCTCCAGAACATCCCAACGATTCGAAATGGGGGTTCAAGTCTGGACCCTGTAGTGAAAATGATGTCTCGTGCTCCCTGAACCACTCTTTCACAGTTTTAGTTTGATCAATCCTGGCACTGACATCTTGGAAACATGTCTGTGTCATCAGGGAAGAAACAATCCATTAATGGAATAACCTGTCATTCATATTCAGGTAGTCAGCTGACCTCATTCTTTGAGCTGAACCAGACCACCTGACTTGATTTTCATCTCATTAGATGCTTTCATTGCTTGATGCCAATTATTTGATGAACATCTCTTCCTCAACCACAGGATGTGTCTTTACACATGATTGTTTAACAAATAAGAATCTGCTCACTGCTTCACTTAGAGTTAAATAACTTGCTGTCAGCTGAAACATACAAACACATGCAGTAATGAAAGGATCTAACATTTTTCACCTTGAGGACTGTGCGTCTAACCACGTGGTTAGACACACGTGGTGCTCCTGTGCTTAAGGACTGTGTGTCTAACCATGTGGTCAGCAGCACAGGAGCACCACAGGGAACTGTACTCTCACCACTTCTGTTCACACTGTACACTTCAGACTTCCAGCACAAGTCAGACTGCTGTCATCCACAGAAATACTCAGATGACTCTGCAGTTGTTGGGTGCATCAGAGATGGACAGGAAGCTGAGTACAGAGAGCTGGTGGACTGCTTTATGACAGGGTGTGGGAACAGTGGGCCTCATGCAAGAAC